GTCAAGCCTGCCGACCTGGTTTTTATCCCTATCACCCACATGGTGGAGGGAACTAACTCCCACAAGTTGTCCTCTGCACGCATACACATAAACCCAAGAAATAATTAATAAACAAAAGTGTTAGCCTATTGAGATGGCCCAGGGGCTAAGAGCACGTACCAGCACCTATGCCAGGCATCACCGCTCCCAGAACGCCAGACTTTCTGTGGACCCTGCACACCCGTGGCATATACCCACAAACACATGCTATATAAATATTAACTTAAAAAAAAAAAAAAAAGCTGGGCATGGTGGTGCATGTCTTTAGTCCCAGCACTCAGGAGGCAGAGACAGGAGGATCTAAGTTTAAGGCCAGCCTGGTCTACAGAGTTGAGTTTCCTGCCAGCCAGGACTGTATAGTGAGACCTTATCGAAAAACAAGTAAGTTGTTTGTGCTGGGTGTGGTGGTTTAGTACTGTAATCCCAGCATTGGGGGGAGGGGATTGAAGGGGTGGTGAGTTGAAGGCCAGTCTGTAGGAAGACTATCAAAATTTAAAACTATAGGGCTAGAGAGATGGTTCAGTGGTTACAACACTGACCATTTTCCAAACACCCTTATGGCAGCTCACAATCATGTGGGTTCAGGGCATCTGACATCCTGTTCTGTCCTCCACAGGTACCAGACATGCAAGATATACAGGCAGGCAAAACACTCATACACATAAAATAAAACTTAAAAAAAGTTAAAAAAATTTAGGGTGGAGCCGGGCAGTGGTAGTGCATGCCTTTGACCCCAGCACTCGGGATCTCTGTGAGTTCGAGACCAGCCTGGTCTACAAGAGCTAGTTCCAGGACAGCCTCCAAGAGCCACAGAGAAACTCTGACTGGGGGGGGGGGCGTTAGGGGGGTGCATAGTGGCATACTGGGGAGGCAGAGGCAATGGTCTACAGAGCAAGTTCCAGGACAGCCAGGGCTACACAGAGAAACAGTATTTCAGAAAAAACAAACAAACAAACAAAAAAACACAAGGAACTCAAGAGGCAGCTCTTTGGTTAAGAGCACTGGCCCCACAGGCAGGGTCCCCTCATTCAACCAGTGCTGGGCCTCTATGTTAGGGAGGAGACACACAAAGTGTCCTGACTCCAAGGCTCCTATGTGTTGGAGTAGTGCCCAGTTTTTGGTTTGTTTGTTATGTGTGTTTTGTTTTTTTCTTTTGAGACAGTCTTGCTATATAAATAACATGGAGCTGGCCTTGGATTTAGTCCACTTGCTTCTGCCTTGAACTCAGTCCTTCCACCACCTCCCAACTGCTGGCATTGTAGGCTTATACCTCAGCTTTTTCTTTTTCTTGTTTTTTGTTGTTTTGTTTTTCCAGACAGAGTTTCTCTGTGTACCCCTGGCTGTCCTGGCACTCACTCTGTAGACCAGGCAGGTCTCGAACTCACAGAAATCCACCTGCCTCTGCCTCCTGATTCTTTTACCTTCTTAACAAAAGCCTCTGAAATACTGTTTCAGCCCCCGTAAAACCTAACGGGCCCCTTTCTGGTCCCCCTGCAGCCCCATTGGCTGCACAGGGCTTCAGCACACACCGATCTGGAGCTCTCTGCTCAGCCTCCAGCACCTGGGCTTCCCCAGTGTTTTAAATTCTGTCCCTAGGAAAGCTTCAGCCTTGTGGCAGGGAAAACCTTTGCACTTGTCTCTCTGGTGCTGGATCCTCCTCCAATGTCCTTGATGGTCCTGGGCACCCAGTGCCAGGCCAGGCTGCTATGGCAATGGCAGGAAGCAGCTCACGGGCTCTGGCACATGCTGTGGGGTATTCCCAGGAGTGGAATTGGGATGTACCACCTGTATGTAGCATCCTTTAACTTTGTGTCCACATAGAACCTCAGAATGCCACCTTATTTAGGAATAGGATCTTTGTGGAATCAAATAGGATGAAGTTATCACTACAGTTTGGAGACCTTTCTCCATGGAAACTATAGAAACAAATTAGTCAAGTGTGTGGGTGAATTCCGACAAGAGTTTAATGGCACTTGGGTTCCTAAGAAGGGCATTGCCTTACCACAGACCTGGCTGCTTGGCGGGGAAGGGAGGAGCAGACATAATGGCTTGCTGTGGGGAGGGGCACCCAGGC